TTTTTTTTTTTTTTTTTTTTTTTTAGAGTCACCAAACTTAACAATTCTTAACGAATGTCTAATCGCAAAGCTCGGACGTTTGTTTAACGTAAAACGCTTAATTAAAGATACGCAATTACTAGCAAAGGCTTGTCGGTTAAGTGGCATACCTCTTTTTCTTTTGTTGTGCTTTGCGTAATTTTAATCTATTTCTTAGGTTGGGGAAGAACTGTGGGAGGTGGAAGTGCCGCTGACACTCTCCAACAGGCCATGCTACCAGTGGCTGAACACAGTGCCTGCAGCAGAGTAAACGGAAGATTAGTTCCTGTTGATGAAAGTTCCATGGTGTGCGCTGGAGGTCAAGGCAAAGGTGGATGTCAGGTACTCAAGGGTATTCAAATAATTCAACTTGAAATTCAACATTTACACCAACGGTATTGCCAGGCTGTCCCAACAGCATAAAAAAGACATATTTTCGCCCTATTTTATTTAACATATCCTATATTTATATAATACTGATTAACCCTAAACCATGACACAATTTGCTTTTATGAAGTCAAAACAGGAGAAACATTTTCAAAATGCTAGAGGGCAATCATTTCAATTCTTCTTATTAGCTTTGACAATGTTCAAAGGACCCTAGGCCTGCGCAGAAAAAAATACTATGTTGGAATGGTTTGGAAAAACCTGACTGTGTTGTAGCATATAGAAATCTGTTCTCGTCTCGTAATGTAACTATAATTTATATACATATATATTTTTCCGTTTTAAACGTATACAGGGAGACAGTGGTGGACCATTTGTTTGTGACGAGGGTGGAAAGTTTGTTTTGAGAGGGGCGGTCAGTTGGGGACATAGGCAATGCAGGACAGATCATTACACGGTGTTCGCTCGTATAAGCAGCTTTATTGAATGGATTAACCAGAAAAAGTCAGGTATCTTCCTGTTTTGCCTAAAATACTACCTATGTTTGACTAAAATATTCATTTTTGAGGTCTGCATTTAATTAGCTACGAATTTATGTCTTAATCGAGCATGCATGCATGATATTTATTCAAGAATTACATTATTATCATTATTATTATCATCATCATCACCATCATCATCATCATCATCATCATTATTATTATTATTATTATTATTATTATTATTATTATTATCCTTAGCCTGCGTTTCTCAAAGTCGTAGAGAAGGTGTATATAACCTTACTAATGTCAAATCAGGTCTTCTAAAAATGAACGTTACAAATTTTATCAGCCGTAAAACAGTAAGACAGATATCATCACATGTTTGCTTGTTGTTGTATTTCTCCAGGGAGTGGCGGCGGTGGCGGAGGTGGAGGAGGAGGTAAGTAAGATAAATGTCTATTTTACTACACTCTGCAACTTGCATTATTTGATTACAAACTAAATGCTATGAAGAGGCTTGAAATGATGATGTCAAACCTGTAAATAATATAAAATAACTACCCCGAAAAGCTAAATAACAAAGATTCCTTGGTGTTCTTATAAAGCATGAACTGTTTAATATTATTATATTATCAAAACATAGAACAACTATTCAAAGCAAAATGATTCTAAGATACTTTGATTGAAGAGTATCCCATCTGACACTGACATAAAATCTTCTCACTCATATTGGGAAATCTTGGGAAAACCTGTCTTGCTTATACGTACAGTGCTTTCTTCCCGCTGGTACACCACAAATCTACATTGCATATCATCGTGTTGACTATCTTAAATAAGGTCAACACGTGCATTTAAACAGGTTGATAAACCTTCTCCACCGCCATTACATCCATAACATGGGCGTATATGTATATTTTTTTATTTGTCNTTTTTTTTTTTTTTTTTTTTTTATTGCCATCTAGGCTGCGTAGACCAAAGCTCGAGATGTCGTTACAGTTTGTATCAATGCCGATACGACATCAATGTTCAGAGGGCCTGCCCGAGGACATGCGGTCTATGTAAGTAGGGAATCACATTAATGCATTACCATGAATTTTTACACACCATTAATATTTACAGATGGGGACGTGGTGGTCCTGTGTTGATCTGTTAATGAATTAACCAATAGTTTCAGAAAGACTGAGTGCTAAATAAATCTAATGTTAGAAATAATAATTATTATCGAAAAAAAGTGACAAAATTGTGCAAAAACAATCTTTGTTGAAACTATTGAAGTGTTTAGAAAAAGATTGCAAACATCGTTTTATTTTTACCCACTTTTTTGTTTGTTTTCACTTCATAGAGCTGTTTGTTTGTTTTTGTTTTTGTTTTTGTTTATTTTTTTTGGAGGGGCTGGATTTCTTTTCATTTTGCGGTTGCACAGCATTCAAACCGTTAGACACTTCACGGTCTTCATTTTAACTAAATTATCACTAAATAAATACGTTGGTCTTTAGGGTAGTACGTGATCAGGAAGATCTTTCTCAGATTTGTCCGGTTCCCTATGTTGATGTGTTGTTTGGCAGGCAATCTCATTCTTCATTGTCTCTCTTTATTCTAGAATAAAAATAAATATCTTCTTTTTTGACATCATCTTCTTTTAGGTTAAGATGGAACATGACACTTCAGGAATTGAAACCAGGACTAAACTTCCATGACAAGATGAAACAGACATATATATCTAGCCATGTAGAGAAACAATAAAGTAGTTCAAGAACATATTTAATGTCGTCTCTGTTCCGTCTTCCACCGTCTTTAAATCAAGGACACGTTCCTATCGTATTGCCTGAACAATACCGACCGTGTATGATGTGAACGTGTTCAGGGCAGCAGTAGGGTTATGCGAAGCTTGTTTTTGGCGAGCACAAGTAAATCTTTCATGATTTCCTAGTCGTTCTCAAGCATCAGCATCTTTCCTAGACCCTATTCTAGAATTGAAGAAAAAAATATCCAAGGAAAAGATTTGTTTTCGCCCCGAAATTGGCGATGTTCCAACGAGTAAAATACAGTACCGACTTGGAATTTGATTTGGCTATCCTAATTACTGCCAAAGTAGTTAAATCTGACCCAAGTGGCTGAAATTAACATGCAGTATTTTTTTAGGTGAGTGCAATTTGAAAATAGTTTTCAGATATCACAAGTAGTGTAAATCCTTAATTGCTCGAGCTGTCATACGATTATTCATTTATTATAAGACTGAGAAAATTGCGAACACGCGCGCGTTAATTTGCACTGCAGTGCAAATTAACAATAAATTAGCCTGCTATCAACTAATCACAAAGAAGTAATTTTCCCAGTCACATAACAAACTGCGTAATATTAGAGTCAAAAAAATTGTTTTCCTGCCGCAGAATCATGATTTTAAAAACTATGGAAAGAATAATTTCTTTACTCGGAGCGCAATTAAAAACCTTAAAAGTGGGATATTTTGTTCGTATCCACCGAACTTCGTCAGCCACAGTGCAAATTTGCCAGCTCACGGGGTGTTCAGTAGGTTCTAGCGAAACAAAAGTTCTTGCCACGTAAAGCAACACGTTCAAACACCGCGTAAGGGACGCACGATATCAGATTAAGTAAGCCCTCCTTGAACCGAGACTATGGCTTCGAAATAGTCAATATCTATGACACCATTTTAGCCCACTGGAGACCGTAATGAACATATAACCCTACTTAACATTCAAATTTGTATTGTGGCTGAAGAAGCTCGGTGGATTCGAACGAAATACCCCACTTTCAAGGTTTTTGATTGCGCTATGAGTACATAAAGTATTCTTTTTATATTTTTTTTAAAATGCGTAAAATTAGTTACTGCTCCAAAGGTGGATACATACTACAGCTGGCTTTTAATTTCTATTTGGTCTCAATGTGCACTTTGGTTTTCATAATAATTTTGTCAAAGAGAAAATATGAAATATTGCCACGGGAATGATGGTATTTACTTTATCGTCTAAAATTGTTTTGAAATATTAACTTAACCAGTACGGATAAAACCGTTTTTTTGAATGAAGCCTCTATACAGCCTCTTTCAAATAAGACTGTGATCTAAAACAGCATTTTTTTTTTCTTTTTTTTCTTTTTTTTTTTTCATGGTAAACAAAGATTTCCTGTACCGTTGTTTAAGGACTGGCTTTAATTTGCTTGTTAAAACTTGACCGAGTCCGAATTATTCATTGCTGTTGTTGTCTCTGTATTTCATTCTGCGGTTCACCTGGGACAACACTGCAGCATAAAACAAAAAATATTAGGATAAGCTTAAACAAAAGACCAGAATAAACATTTATCATCTGCATCAACACCTATTCAAATCTTAAAAAAAAATATATACATTCACTTCTTAAGCAACTACAATAAACGAAAAGTTTAAGCTGTGGAACTTTTTAGCAAAAATGGGATTATGGTTCTTTTGTAATGAATTCAAAGCAAACCCTGCCCAGTGCACAGCGGAATGCCGCAAAGTCGACTCAGATTTTTTCAGCTGTACTTGCAAATTTAACTAGGCGCATCTTTTTCTTTCATTCAACAATTTCGAAGAGCCTGTGAAAATAGTCTGCGTAAAACTTTTCAGAGAAATAAGAATTATCAAAAGCTAAAGAAGTGTTCGTCGGCTGAGCTATTACCTTTTGAAAACGCTGGTTAAAAAGTAAATAGGTCCTTAGAAAATGGGTGTGCAATGTCTTTGTATAAGGAATTCAGGTGTTTTACGACGAATGCAACAATAAAGGCAATAAATAACGTAAATGTTACCTTGTTGGGACATTTGGAGATCATTTCTTCAAGATGACTCTCTGGATTGTAGTCGCGTTTCTGCTACTTGGAGTTTCATTCTCCCAAGGTATGATATAGGATTTGTTTTACTTTTCAACCAAAATGTCTTGTAAAGTAACTGTCTTGCAAAATCTATCACTCATAATGATTCCGGATCTCGCTATTTAACCTTGATGATCGTTATTTAAATTAAACTGAAATTTACACCTAACCATCTTGGAAAACTAATCTATATCTGGTTGGGCCAGTTGTAAGCCTTCTGTTTTCATCTACAGTTTGATGTTTTGTCCAGATGATAGTTTAGTATCACAGGATATAACTCGCGATGCTATTTTCATTAATTGCTAAGGATGTGGAAATCAACCATGTTCTAGCACGCTGCTGAACAGGATCAAAATGTAGATTGGTAATTTAAAGGTAATATTTTTACCAAAGATTCAGAGATTCGCGTACGACCTTTATTTCAGGCTGTGGAAATCGACCATTTACAAGTAGGGTCGTAAATGGCCAAAATGCCCAGCCCCACTCCTGGCCCTGGCAGATTTCTCTCAGAGTCAACGGTCGCCACATCTGTGGAGGATCACTTATAAAGAATGACTGGGTCCTCACAGCGGCCCACTGCGTGGATCGAAACCCGAGGCCAAGTGGCTACACTGTAGTTGTGGGTAGGTCTTTTCTAAAGAAATTAATATAGTAAATTTTGTTTTTCGCGGGACTTTTCTGAGGTTAAAAATGTTTTTAAAACGAGACGTTTCGGTATGCGATGCTATGAAAAACTCTTTAAAAGCTATTAAGTATGGATATGTCAACTATGAAAAACTATTAAGTCTTTTCTTTTTAACCATCGGAGATTGTCGGCTTTAATTCGCATTTATTTTCGTATTTTGCAAAGAAAGTATCATAGATCTAGTACACCTCCTCGAGCATTATTTTTAACCCTGAAAATGGCAGTTAAATTCATCCTTTATTCCATCGTTGGGCTACAAACTTTGGGATGAAAAAATAAACAACATCCAAAAACAGGCAACAAAGACATTATGAGTTTAGGTTTGAAAAGGACTGCACGATCTGTAATCTCCCTACAGAAAGGGACCCTACAAGAATTTCTTATTCCTAGGGTTAGGTGATTAAAACAATGGCAATATGAAAGCGAACTTAATATTTGCAAGACTTTTCCAATCATCAAAATAAGTTCTACGCTTAATTGATCTCTTGAACACAGAAGCCTATTATTTGATTAGCTCTGATTTCATTATCAGGAGCCCATCGCCGGACTGGATCAACTGTCGTTCAACAGACTTTCCGCTTGAAACAGTTGTTCAAACACGAGAAATTTAGCATGAGGCAGCTGCGTAACGACGTCGCCCTTTTGCAACTAGAGCGGCCAATACAAGCAAGCAGCAAAGTGAACACGGTGTGCTTGCCGAGTTCAGGAAGTAGGGTTCCCGCGGGAGCACGATGTTACATTACAGGTAAATGAAATGTTCCTCGCCAATTTTGCGTAAACCTCCTTACTTGCCTCTAAAGAAAAATGGATCGAGTGAGGAAAATTTCAGAGGTGTCCTTTTCCCAAAGATTTCCCAAAAATTTCTTAGGAACGCCGATCGTTTACACAACAATGAATACACACAAATAAAGGTAAACTCTGATTCATATTACGAAACATGCAAAGTTCAGATATTTTTGTTTTATTTAATTTTATACTATAATCGTATTTCTTTTATTTTAGATACACGGCCACTGAGGGGTTCGTCGATTCAACTAGTGGTTTAGTTTAAAGCTTAAGGCATGCTTGCTTTTTTCAAGTATAATTACATACATTGTTAATTCTTGATCAAGAACTCCAGAGCCAATATGCACGATTTGCATCTGAGCGTTCTGCCTATACAAGGCATTAAAATGGCATATCCAGATCTCTTATTATTTTACTGTTCTTTTCGTAATATAATTCAATTTAATTTATTAGGTTGGGGAAGAACTGTTGGAGGTGGAGGTGCCGCTGATACTCTCCAGCAGGCCATGTTACCAGTGGCTGAACACAGTGCCTGCAGCAGAGTGAACGGAAGATTAGTTCCTGTTGATGAGAGGTCCATGGTTTGCGCTGGAGGTCAAGGCAAAGGTGGATGTCAGGTAAACAAAGAGGGTTACTCTCTGGGAAAATGATCAACGATGAAAAGAATATTCCCTACAAGCCAACAGCGAACTTGCTTAGGGGCCCTTCTACGTATAAATTCCTCAAACAGGACTTACTCTCATCGGTGGAGACTCCCATATATAAAAGACAGAAGTGCTCGTCGGAAATTTTGAAAACAACCCCTTAGAGGTACCGAGGTCCTGTTTTGTGGGCATGGCTTGATTTTTTTTTTTTCCGCTCCTAAGAGTTGCAATTCTAAAACTTCACATTAACTCACACTTTTATAATTTTTTTAAAGAAGGTCGCTTCGAATACCTCCACTAGTAAAGTTGATTGTCATATATCTCCTGTCATATATTTTTGGCTGAAATTAAACTCCAAAACTGTACCGCGAAATTTCCCGCTGGCGTCCATTTGAGGCTGAGCACCCAAAGAGGTAAGGAAACCTGGTTTTTAACCCCCAAAATGCACAACGAGCACCCCCTCCTGTTTTATATGGGATTCATTCCAGGGGGATTTACTGTGAGATGTGTAAATCATACTATCGAAATTTGCTTGTGAATATTCCTCCGTTTTCTCTTTTGTATAAAACCAGGGAGACAGTGGTGGGCCGTTTGTTTGCAATGAGGGTGGAAGATTTGTCTTAAGAGGTGCTGTTAGTTGGGGACATTCCAATTGCAGGACCGATCATTACACAGTGTTCGCTCGAGTAAGCAGTTTCGTCGGATGGATCAACAACAAGATGTCAGGTAATGAAAATTTAAAAAAAAAATGTCTGTTGATTCTTTCTCAATACATGGCTCTTCTTGATTTACTCTATCAAGAGGTCGTAAATCCGTAAATGGCCAAAAATTAGAATTGGATTCGGAAGTTATCGTCGGTTTCCAACAAAATTGAAAGTTTTAGTCTTATAATTTGACTTTGTGTATCTGTTGTATTTTTTTTTTTCTTTTTTATTTGCCGATTTATTTGAAGTACTTCGTTGGATTAAATTCCCCACCGTAATTTGCTGACAAATTAACAATTACTGTCGATATTTATGGCTGACCTTATTGTAACGAAGCTTGTTTTCTTTTGCCATTTAGGCGGAGGCGGTGGCGGTGGCGGCGGTGGAGGTGGAGGAGGAGG